TGTGGTTTTTTTAATAAAATGGAGTACTACTCAGCCATAAAGAACGAGAAACTAAAGACATTTACAGCTAAATGGATGCATATTGAGGCCATCCTCTTAAGTGAAATAAATAGGACACGCATATGTAAATACCGAAGAGTTTCTCTGGTGTGAGAAACTGAAAGTATAAATAAGGATTAAAATGAAAAACTGATAATGTGAAACAGGAAGAAAAGGTCCAAAGGGGTAGGGGAAGTGGGAGGGGAAAGGGAAAGGAAAGAATATGAGAAAAGGAAAAAATGGAAAACAAAGTCTTTGTAAATAGGGAAGGGTGGAGGGGGTAAAGGCGGGCAGGGGAATGGGGAAAAAATAAGAACCAAGATGCATCATGTAAAGGTACAAGTTCCCAATGATAAATGTAAATGTATTGTATACCTAAAATGTATCAATAAAAGAATTCAAGAAAAAACCCCAGAAAACAATCACTTCATCCAAGGCTCACTAAGGTCTGAAAACCAGGACGGTAATATATATTCTAGAAGGTTTAAAAAACAATATAAATTAGTTTCAGATTTCAAAAAAATTTATTCTTTTATATCTTAGAAAACCAAAAAGACCCAGTTAATTCACATAAAAAATGTTAGTGCATTCCAAATCAAAACCATGAATTTTCATGCTTAAGTTTACACTTTGACTTTCTTCTGGTTATTATATTCCTGTAGCAGCAACAGAAATGGAATGGAAGCTAACTTATAGCAAAAATTATGATAGGTCAAGGCAAAAGATTTCATCAAAATTTTGCAACAGAAAAATACAACTCTAAAAATTATTTTGAAGTAAACCAAAGAATTATGACAATTTGTCTATCAATAGACAAACTATAGAAAAACACCCAATATCCTTGTTACTTTAATACCCAATATATGTATAATATAGGAAACCAAGCACTTCAGTTATTTCCCAACTTGTAAACTTTGCCCTCTTTCAGAAACAGCTGAATCATTTGCCATTTTATCTTCTAATCTCCACACCCTATGGATTACCCAACCATCAGCAAAAGCAAATGTAAAAGCCATGCTAGCTTCTAGTTAGAGGTAGAATAAAGTCATGGAAGGCAGTAAAACGTTCACTTGAACACCATTTTCTAAAAAAGCAGGACACATATCCCTGAGGAGAAAGAGAACATGGATTCTCGAGGGTGTTCTTGTGACAGGCCAGGCTATCATTCAATAGTTCTTCTACAAACAAATTGGAGATCTGCCCCCATCTGTGGTGACAGCAGTGCAGATGTACCATGGCAGCTAGAGCAGTGATACAGATGGCTAAGGAAGTGCACCCAGAGGAAAGGAAACCCAGAACCCCTCCACAGGAGCTCTGCAGCCCTTAGGCAATCCAGATGACTCATTTCACACCTTTATTTATAGTACAAATTTTTTTTTTAAATCTCTTGCTACTCTAAGAAAAAACTCCAAAATGACTTTTTCTTTTTTGCTGTGAGATTGGTATTGAACTGATTTGCATGACCATCCAACTGTAAAGGCAGCTCAGAAACAGGAACAAAGCTCTGCTTTCAGGGAATTTATTACCCAGATGCAGTCAATAAACACAAAAAAATTTTTAAATTCCAACAAGTGAGAAGATAAGAACAATGCCATAACAACTCTCCTTTGATACTGGCAGAAACTTTATATGGGCTAGTTTTCCAGATAATCAAAACTTAAAGGGTAAATCCAAACACTATTAATTTCCCCCCCAGTACTGGGGATTGAACCCAGGGCTTTCACACTGAGCTCTATCCCTAACCCTTTTTATTTTGAGACAGGGTCTCACTAACTTGTCTGGGCTGGGGTCAAACTTCTGATCTTCCTGCATCAGACTACCATAGTGCTGGGATTATAGGGACATGCCACTATTCTTTAGCACGCATGAGGCCCTGGCTTCAATCCCCAGCATCAAAAAAATAAAATAATATCAGATATTGTTTTAAGACCATCAGACTGACATATAAGGAGTCAGACAATACTAGTAACTGGCAAGAATGTTAAAGAATGGATCTTACAATGCACTCTTGATGTAAAACCACTTTGGAGAGCAATCATTAATATAGTTTAAAACCCATGTACCCAATCACAGAAACTATCTTTTGAGAAATTCAATACATGTACACAAGGATCAATGAATATGACAATCAATACAGTATTATTGATTATTGTGAAAAACTGGAAACCACCAAGTATTTGTAAAGAGAATAATTTTTATATATTCATAAAAGAAAAAATGAATGAATTAGGGCTATATGAATTTATGTGTCCATAAACTCCAAAAACACGGGAATGTTTCTTTTGTAACAAGTTATATATATAAAAATTTTAAAAATGCAGGAACTTTCTCCTACAACTTTTATTTATTTTTATTCTTTTTTTGTGTATGTGCCACAGAGTCTTTCTATGTAGTTCAGGCTGACCTTGAACTCATTAGGTAGCCCAGGTTGCCATTTGGGAGGCTGGGGCAGGAAGATCACTGCAAGTTCGAGGCCAGCCTGGCTATATAGTGAGTTCAAAGTCAGCCTGAACTACATAGTGAGACCTTGTCAAGAAAGAAAGAAAGAGAGAGAGAGAGAGAGAGAGAGAGAAAGGCAGACAGAGAAAGAGAGAGAAAGGCAGAGAGAGAGAAAGAAAGAGAAAGAGAGAAAGAGAGAGAGAGAGACAGAGAGAGAGAGAGAAAGAGGGGGGCGGGGCTAAAGGTATAGTTCAGTTGTAAACTGCCTGGCATGTGTGAGTCTCTGGGTTTAATTTTCAGTAAAAACAAAAGAAAAAAGAGAGATGGCAGAGACAAGGGAGAGACAGAGACAGAGTGCGTAAGAAAGAAAGCTTAGGGAAAACAACCTTCAAAATCCTACCATAAGATATAGTGGTGCACGTACCTGTAATCCTAACTATTTGGAGGGCTGAGGGAGAAGGATCTCAAGTTTGAGGCCAGCCTGGGGAACTTAGCAAGACTGCCTCACAATAAAATTGTAAAAAAGGAATGGGGATGCAGCTCATGGTAGTGCTCTTGCCTGGCAGGTAAAAGGCCCAGGTTCCATACCCAGAACCATTAGAAAACAAACCATATCAAACACCAAAACAAAAAAAGGTATACACAGCAAAAAGACAAGATGTAGGGGCTGGGGATTTAGCTCAGTGGTTCTGCCGCCTGCCTTGCAAGTGCAAGGACCTGAGTTCGATACCCAGTACCCAAAAAAAAAGACAAGATGTAAAATTCTAATAAAGTTGGGTGGTATATGCTTGAAACATTTCACAACAAAAATATGAGAAATAAAATACTTGGACTATAAAGAAAACCCCACTATTTTTAGCTCTCTAATTTGAAACATGAGACTCCGAGAATATGATCATACTAGCTGGTGTGGTGGCACACACTGGTAATCCAGTACTCTGGGAGGCTGAAGCAGGAGGATCGAAAGCTCAAGACACGGTTGGCTGATTTATAGACTTAGTGAAACCCCGTCCAATAAAAAAGGGGCAGGGATGGAGCTCAGTGAGAAGACCCGTGGTTCAATCCCCACTGCCAAAAAGACAAAACAAAACAAAGATCATACATAGTTCACAAAAGGGAAACCCATCACAATCTATCACTGTATCTGCTAAAACTGAAAAAGTAAAGCCAAAGACATTTGACCTTTGGAACAAGCAAACTGCTTCAGATGCTATCTTCAGTCACATTATCTAACAGTTTATGACTGTAAAGGTACTGGAAGTTACATGACAGTAAATTGAGTAAGATTTGTTTACTCATTTCCAAAATGATTCCAATGTCATACTTGTGCTAGGGTGACAAATTCCACCTTGATCCTATTGGCTCAGGACCGTCCAGTTTGAAAGTTTAAAACTGTGTCCTGACCTCTAGTTTCAGGCAAACTGGGACAATTGGCCACTCTAACTCCTGGTCATATCAAAACTTTTGAGCTAGAGAAGAATTCTGAGATTTTTTTAAAAAAATTACCTAATTTTACAGATGGGAAAAGTAAGGGATTCTGTATCTTCAGATTATGAAGAAAAGCTCCAAGCCATTTAAATGCTCCAGTTTGTTCACTCTACGGACTAACCCTCTGCAGATTTGACTGGTGGTCTTCCAGCCCTTTGTAACTTCTTGTAGTGAGGAGAAGCCTTTGCCTCCCCCTATTCTGATTCCACTTCTACAATTCTCTAGCCATTTTACAGGCTTTTTGTGGAACTGGTACTCATTCTGCCGTGATTAGCTAACAGGCTTGTAGGCAGACCTGATGTCTGAGTGTGTATATAATGAAGAGTCTCTGTGTCCCATGCCATATATTATACCCCTTTCAAGATTCCCTCCTTTGAACTCAGAACTTTCACACTTAGCCCTGCATTATGCAATCATTCAGTCAGTGAACATTTACTGAATGATGGCAGGAACTGTGCTAGATACTGGAAAAAGTAAATAAAATGTACTCAGTCACATAAGAGAGTTAAGAACAAGATATATAAAATAATAAACAATGTGGTCTACACCTCAGGAAGTCAGAGGTTTTAATTGAGGAGGTGATATCTGACCGCCAGGGAAGAAATGTATCATCTGTTTCTTAAAGACCTCCATGGGGTTCTGGGTGTAGGGCTTGGGTAGCATGAGGCTAGCATGGATTTGATTCCCTAGTACAATAAAACAAACAAACAAACAACAACAACAACAACAACAAGCCAGCCTTGTCTTTCCTACCATCAAAGAGTATGATGCTTTGCTCTCAGCTGAAGTTCAACAAATACATAAATTTGGCAAAGTCAAGAAAGCCAGTCCTAGGCGGGAATGGTGACGCACACCTGTAATCCCAGTCCTCGGGAGGCTGAGGCAGGATGATTAGCATGAGTTTGGGGCCAGCCTGGGCTACCTAGTGAGATCCTGTCTCAAAAAACTTACCATGCCCCCCACCATCTCTTGGAGATGAGGGTGGAGTTAACTGAATCCACTGGCAAGATAAGTTTCAGAGGTTGACACTGTACCTGGCTTCGTGCAATGTTGCTCAGGTGGTTGTCCTCAGACATCTGGGCATTTTGGAAGTAGGACAAGGGTGCAGGTAACTCTGTCATTGGAGCAACTGTATAGAAATACTTTCTCACAGAAAACAAAGCCTCTTGGGGGTCTAAAAAGGAAAAGAAGAAAACAGAACTTTGTGCATTATGACTACATTCTTATTTTTTTTCCCTTAAATTCTTTTATTGGTACATTTTAGGTAAACAGTGCATTTACATTTATCATTGGGTACTTGTACCTGTACATGATGTATCTTGGTTCTTAGTTTTTCCCCATTCCTTGTCCACCCTTCCCTATTTACAGTTTTTCCCCATTCCCTGTCCTCCCTTCACCCCCTCCACCCTTCCCTATTTACAAAGACTCTGTTTCCATTTTTTCCTTTTCTTATAATTTTTCCTTTCCCTTTTCCCCTCCCACTTCCCCTACCCCTTTGGACCTTTTCTTCTATTTCAAATAATCAATTATTCATTTTAATCATTTTAATCCTTATTTACACTTTCAGTTTCGTACACCAGAGAAACTATTTGGTATTTACACATTACACTCTTATTTTTCAAAAGCTCTCATAAATTTCATTCAGCAGGAACAAACCTTTCTTTCATGTGTTCTCCTCCAGGCCACGCTGACCTTGTACCTCAAGGGCTGTTGTTGCTTGCAGGCTCCTGGATTAGGTCTGAAATCAAATTTTACTAGGTCATCCATAGTTGGTCAAATACTAGTAAATCCATTCGTACCCATCAACTACTTATGTGGCTAACTGGTAAACCAGAAATGTTGCTGTGCCCTGGCTTTCAACTGACAGATTTATTGTCAGTGGACGACACCTCTTTGACACTGAGATCTCAAACACAAAAATACCTAATGACTTCAGATTTAGAGCAAAAGGAATTGATTCCGTGGAATGTTCTCAACATTTCTTTTTCTATACTTTCTACTTCAACCTAATTTTTATAACTCCATAAAATTATTGTCTAGTGCTTTTAATTTTGTAAAATTCTTGGTGTCTTCTCATTTCATCCTAATCATAAAACACCAAGGCAGGGTGGACAGGTAATATATGTACTTCATAAAAGCAGAAGGGAGGGCATAGAGAGATACTGAGTATATTAAGTAATTTTTATCAAACTGCAGATCAAGTCTTTTAAAACAATCTAAAAGTGGGCTGGGGGTATAGCTCTGTGGTAGAGCATGTTTAGCACACATGAGATCCTGGGGTCATCCCTCAGGACAATAAAAGCAGAAGGGTATCCAGAAAAGTTCGGTGAGTTGCTTAAGGACACACACATAGACTCAGGCAGACCACAAGAACCAGACCCTAACTTCCAGCCTTCTGGTCGCTCCTTTGCCTCTTGGCATAGCCTATTTAGAGACAGGACTGCCTCTCACCCCGCCACCGCCCTCTCATTCCCATTTCCCATTTCCCAATTGCCAACGTCACATTCCCATTTGTCTGGCTACCTTAATTTCCATTAGCCAGCTCTGTAGGACTTGTACTCTTCTTTTCATAGATAATCCTCAGAAATATAAAAGATCTGTTTACGTACTTAAAAAGTATTCTAATACATATATAGGATCTAAAACATGGGGCCAGGAGTGTAGCTCAGTGGTAGAGCACCTGCCTAGCATGTGTGAAGCCCTGGGTTAATTCCCAACACTACAACAAACAAAAATATATAAAATAAAAACAAAATATTATCAAGTACATATCTGCATAAAAAGCATTTTATCAATATCCTGTTTCACTTTTTTTCTTTCCTTGCCAGTACTGGGGACAGAATGCAGGGACTTTGCACTAAGCTACCACCCTAGCTCTTTATTTTTTGAGGGAGGATCTTGGTAAATTGTCCAAGTTGGCCTCAAACATAGATTCCACTGCCTCAGTCTTCCAAGTAGCTGGGATTATAGGTATCTACCTCTGTGCCTGGCTCATTTTCACTTTTTAACTTCAGCATTCTCTAACCTTTAAATATGCCATTTGTTTCTTTTAATGATTTGTCATTAAAATGCAAAAAGTGGCCTTTTCCTTTAATAAAGGTATCAAGTTCAGGGCTGGGGATTTAGCTCAGTGGTGCCACACCTACCTCGCAAGCACAAAAGTTCTGAGTTCAATCTCCAGTGCCACAAAAAAAAAAAAAAAAAAGATATCATGTTCAAATTAGCCTTTATTACCTGTATTTGGATCATCCAAATCATGAGAAATTTTTCCAGGGGAGCGCTGGGGACGGAACCTAGGGTCTTGTGCATCCTAATCAAGTGCTCCACCACTGGACTACACCTCCAGCAAATGACAAAATTTTCTTTTTCAAACTCACTTAGCAATTTATTACCTCTTTCTACAAAATGGCTCACTTTTCAGCCTAAAAAATTCAGTTTTGGGCTGGGGATTTAGCTTCGTGGTTCCTTCCGGTGCCTGCCTCACAAGCGCAAGGTCCCGAGTTCAATCTCCGGTAACAAAAAAAATTCAGTTTAAATAATTTTTTCCCATTTTTTTTGCTTTCTGTTCAGACTAGGCAATTCCAGGTATCAATAATACTTCAAATACATGAGGAGCAACAGTTCTATGCTTTTGTTTTTTAAGAGAAGGTCTCACTGTGTAGCCGGGCTGGCCTTGACTCATGGCAATCCGCCTGCCTCAGCCTCCCAAATACTGGAATTACAGGCATGCACCTGGCTCAGTGCTTTGTTGTCTGTTCTTTCTTTTTTACTTTTCATCCTACATATTTGCAGTATATAATGTTTACATTGTGTGGAGTTGGTGCATGTATAGAACACATCTTGAGAGCTTGTTTGGAGGTTCTAGCAGGGAGCGCAGCTACTCGTATACCCTTGACCGAGGAAATGGTCCTCCTCTATCGGGGGTGGTCGTCCTCTTCGACTAACCACACAGCTTCGGGAGGGTTGCACATGGAGCGGTGAGGGAGGAAGGGGACACCCGCCTAGACAGCCAGATCAGCCAAATCAGCCCTGGCGATCAATGGGGTGACAGATGTCGCAGCCAGATTGCCCTCACATCCGTATATAACACATCTTAATTCTTTTTTCATCCTCGTCTACTCCCCTCTTCCCCCTTCCTCTATCTCTTGATTCCCTTCGCATTTGAAAGACAATGTATGTTCAAAATAAAACTATGCTTACAAGTAAATGAGATCTTTAATAACTGCTGTAACTATAAATTAAAACCTGCAATGCCAAAAAGCAATCACCACATACAGTCCTAGTACTGATTTAAAGAAAGAATAGGTAATATTGAGATCTAGTCATTTTATTTATGTAGTTTCCTTCTTATCCTTATAGGATCTGTTTAGCTATTATAAGAAACCATACAAACTGATCATCATACTGGAAATTTCTCAGACAACTCTTGTACATGTGTTATGGCTTGTATCTAGATGTCCCCAAAGCCTCATGAGCTCAGAGGTAGGGTGTTTCAAAGTTGGCTGGGTCTAGGGCAGTGGTGGTGAACCTATGGCATGCGTGTTTTCAAGACAAAAGATGTTAATGTATGAGTTGTTTTTTTTAAACTAAAACCTCACTATTTGGGTTTAATTGCAGTGCTGGCACTTTCTGATAAACGAGTGAGTTTTGGGTTGCACTTTGGGCATTTGTCTCTAAAAGGTTCACCATCACTGATCTAGGGTTTATGATTCTGGGATTAAGGGTGTGTGGTACTAAATTAGTCCTCCGATTGGTTTAGTATAGCTCCACCCAAAAAGTTTGTAGCCTGGATGGAATTTAAAGGGACAGAAAGAAAGTAGGGTTAAAATGGGTGTGGTGGCTAACACCTATAATCCCAGGTCTCCAGAGGCTGAGGCAGGAGGATCACTGTGCATTAGGTCAACCTGAACTACAGAGTGAGACCCTGCCTCAAAAAAAAAAAAGAAAAGAAAAGCAAAAACAAGGCAGGCTTGCTGCCTCTCTGCTTCCTGCCTGCTGTGCCATGGACTACTTCTCCTCTGCCAAGCTACCCTGCCTTAGAGCCAGCCAATTATGGACTGAAACCTCTATAAACTATGAACTAAGATAAATATTTCCTCCTTTAACTTGTGGATGTCAGGTATTTTGTCTCAACAACCAGAAAAGTAACTAAGACAACATGGATAATACAGAAGTCACTGCAGCATACCTCAATACTATTTTCAAAGTTCTTCTCACATCCATTATTCCATTTTATTCTTTTTTTTTTGGTACCGGTGATCAAACTTGGGACCCTGCACTTTTGAGGCAGGCGGCAGAACCACTGAGCTTAATCCCCAGCCCCTTCCATTTGATTCTTTAAAAAAAAGAATAACAAGAGGAAAAGAATCTGTACAGGGATGTTAAAAACAAACAAACTCAGGAAGCTGGGTATGTTGGTCCATGCCTGTAATCCTAACCCTTAGGTGGCTGATAGACAATCCTGAGTTTGAGGCTAGCCTGGGCTACATAGGGAGTTCAAGACCAGCTTGGATTACACAGTGAGACCCAGCATCGAAAACAAATAAAACCACAAAACCCAAAACACCTCAGAAAAGGTGAAGGAATTTTTCTGTGCAGGTTAAGGGGGGCAAGTGAATTACACCCCAGAACTCAAGTTGTCTGATGTCAAGTCCAGGGGTTTTCCAGTTACCTAGATCCTCTGAAGGCCTCAGTACTACGGGAGGAGGCTCCCTGAAAGAGCTGTCTTTTGGAACTCAGCATGAAGCAGAGGCAGGCAACAAAGCCAGGTCAGGCTCTGGGAACAAATACCCACTGTTGGTAGGCAGAAAGGGACAGGCCAAGCAGAGTTGTTCTTGGTCCAGAAATAGCTGAAAACAATTGATGAGTGCATGCAAAAGGTCAATGATCCTACTGTTTAGGCAGTGTGGCAAAAAACACGATTTTATAACATTTTCAGCTGAGCCCTGTGAATATGGGAAAAGACAGCTGGGAAGTAAGGATCTTTCCTATGACCTAGATTGCAGAGGGAAAGAAAAGAGAGGCATAATTTTGGTGCTTTCTTCTCTGGCCACCTGCTGAAGAGATGACAGCACAGCACTTCAGTTCACTGCTATCCATATATCTTTTCACTCAAAACACTTGCTCAATCAGACAAAAGAAATCATTCTTTGATAAGAATTTCTATTGTATATAAAGAGATCAAAAAAGCCCTAAGAGAACTACGAATAATCCCAAAGCTTAGACTGCACCACAGAAAAGTCTGTCCATGAGAAAACTTTCTCTTCAATAAGTATCTCAGGGCCGGGGATTTAGCTCAGTGGTTCCGCTGCCTCCCTCGAAAGTGGAAGGTCCCAAGTTTGATCCCCAGTACCAAAAAAAAAAAAGTATCTCAGGAGCAATGTGTAAAATCTCAGAATAAGTTTATTAAATATCCTTTTCAAGAAAGCACTCACAGAAAAGCACATTTTCTCTCTCTCACTATATCCAAGATAACAACTAAACCTCAAGCTCCTATGAAATGTGGTTATTAATTATTTATATAATTTTCTTTCTTCACTCTCAGAGATAAGTACAAACAGAACTAGTACAGTACTCTACAAAAACATTTGTATGACACTTGATCATGAGCTTTTCCAAAGGGCTTTCGACTTGCTTTCATGTCTCTAAGCACTTGCCTAGTTTTTGTTTTAGAAAATTGCTATAAGTATTTTCTGCTGCATCTGCATTAGGCTGCTAAGGTTTGCAGGGGCCAATGTGCTTGTGATTTATTCTTTTCCTACAAAAGTATTTAATCAGTTTTGGTGTCAGTCTGATGGCTTCTTCCTGACAGGCAGCCCAAGTTTTGACTATATAGATGGGCAGGGAAAGCTTCTATTTGGGTTTTTCGAGGCTCACATTCAACAGTAAATGCAATCAAACTCTAAACTGTATTGTATAATCAATATGAATAAAAATAACTTTAAATTAATTTTAAAATTTTCCCAAGAAACTCACACACAAACTTTTTTGGGGGGTGGGGTGGGGAAATACATCCTAGAAAAACTCTTCTTAATTTTTAAGCCATTAGGAGCAAGTCATTTCTCCAGTCCTACAAGAGGCTTTTCGAAAGGGTAGATGCTAAACAGACCAAGGATAGTGATACATCATTTTTGGTGATTGTTCCTCCTCCTTCCATCCCACTCCACCTCGGTGAACCATCTGTGCTAGATTAGATTATTCAGCAAATATCCACTTCCTCCCCTAGCCAGCATCCCCAAGGGAGGACTATACAGTCAACCTTCTATATCCTTCAGTTAGGTATCCTCAGATGCAATCAAGATCAAAAATATTTGGGGGTTGAAAATACCTGGGAGAAAAAAAGAATTGTCTGTAACGAACATGTACAGACATTTTTCCTTGTTATTCCGTAAATGATACAGTACAATTAATTACATAGCATTTGTGCTGTATTATGCATTACCTAAAAGCATTTGGTTTTGTTACAAAATTTTGGGGTTTTTTCATAGAAGAGTGCTTTTTATATTTTGTTAATATCTACTGGTACTGAATTAAAATTTTTTTTAATGGGCATACAATCCAAAAGAAAAACAAGTATTCAGGAGGACATGTGTAGGTTACATGTAAACACTACATTTTATGTTCACTTGAGCACCCTCAAATGTCATAGAACCAATGTCCTGAAGATATCAAGAGACCACTATACTACTCTCCAGCGATGCTGGGCTTGGCCTTGTGACTTGGTGGGCCTCATGCTGGGCACAAGCCACTACCTACCCTAACCTTTGGACTTTGGTCAATGTGGTCTTAACAGATGTGGTATAGCAGACACTTGAACTATGCTTATGTTGTGAAGTTGGTCTTGCCTTCTTGTACTTTTGCTGTTGTTTTGAGAAGAGCTTACTTTGCATAGCCTCTACCCCCTCAGCCTGAGCCCCAGAATAAAATATGCAAATGAGAATGCTCCCTGCTGATCTACATACCTACACCTTGAAGCAGAGCTCTAAACTGCCGAATTTGGGGGAGATGTGCTATGTAGAGTTGCTGTAGCAACTTGTTTTAAAATGGTAATGCTGGCTCAGAAGATGAAATGAAGATGAAATAAGGTAACCCCAGAATCCCCTATCTGTAGCTCTTAGGACTAAATGTGTTTAGAATTCAGAATTTTTGAATTTTATGAAGGTAATATGAAGCAAATACCATGTTATACAGAGCTCCCACAGGGTCTCAGAATCACAAAATGAAACATTAAGGCTACAAGTGGAATAAGTCTATATATAGGTTCATGTTAGATTTCTGTCAAACTAGTTATGAAACACTTTAAAGTTTGGGGATTTGGGAATTTTAGAATTGTGGATATGAGACAATGGTCCTGTACTTCAAACTTTTTTCTTTTAGATGGGGTTTTGCTCTATTGCCCAGGCTGGCCCCAAACTCCTGAGTTCATTCAAGTAATGGTCCTGTGTCAACCTCCCAAGTAGCTGAGATTACAGGCACAGCAACCACACCTAGCTTTTCTCAATTATAGACTTGTTCCCAAAAAGTTATTTAATTTTGACAATTTCGTAATGAAGGTACAATTACCCCAAGTCATTGTCTCAAATCCTGAAAATGGATAGAATGACTAATTTATAATGAAAAAACAAAAACAAAAACAGGATTGGGGATTTAGCTCAGTGGCACCACGCCCCCTTTACAAGCACAAAGTCATGAGTTCAATCCCCAATATAAAAAAAAAAACAAACCCATAAGATATAACGAAAAAAAATGATTACTCACATCTAATTAATTTGTAAGCCTCTAGATGTACCCACATTGCCTGCATTCTTTTGCTTTGGATCAATTTAAACAGAACTGTATAACCCATTCTGAAAACCAAACATTAATACTCTAATCACCAAACACTCATTGGATTTCTTTCACTGCGATAGGTGCTGGGGATACTAAGGAATCAGATATGCTTCTGTTTACATGAGGAGTTTACTATCTATCTAGAAAGGAAGACAAGTAAAATTTTAGATTGGGTAAATTCCCAGATTGCGTGTTGAAATTAAAATGTTAGATATATCAAGTTAAATATTTAAATTAATGTCACCTGTTTCTTGTTACCTTTACAAAATGTATTTATCAGAAAATTTAAAAATTAACGTTTGGGACTGCAGATGTAGCTCAGTGGTAGTGCTTGCCTAGAGTGTATGAGGCCCTGAGTTTAATCCCTAGCACCACATACACAAAAAAATAAGTAAAGAAATAAATAGTATAAACATTTGTGGCTCACAATATAATTGTTCTGCGGTGTTTTTCTAAATTTTCAGTTGTGTTACACCAGGCCTAACATTCAAAATCTTTCGCAACGTTTTCCTTCCTGGAGCCTCTTCCCTCCCTGTCTGCTTTTCTGTGACTCTGCACTACTGTGGTTCTCCTACCACACTCATTCTCCTCAGCTGCCTCCTTGTCCCCTTCTTCCCCTTAGGCATATCCTCCACAGCTCCAACATCAAGTGGTAAGTCTACCTAAAGGACTAATGTTTCCAGCTCCAGTCTTGGCCACAGGTCATTTTCACCCGCTGACACTTCAAAAGCGATACTTCCAAAGCACTTCCTCTTTACTTCTTCCCTTCTAACTTGTTTCTGAGATAGTGTCTTCCATTCTCTAAACTTAAATTCTCATTTGACTCTTTGTTCTTCATTTGGTTGCTGTGTCCTGCTCACATTTCTCTACCTATGCCTCTGCCAACACCCCAGACCAAACTCTCATTATATCTCACCTGAATTATGCAAAACTCACCTCAATTCTCGTATCTATTCCTGACTCTGCTACCAGACTGATATGCCCAAAACAAAACTCTGGCCACAACAGTGCCACACATTTGAAAAGGACGAGAGGAAGAAAAAGCAAATACTGAAAACACAGGCATGCACCGGCCACGCATACATCGCGACGGCCCGGATCAAGGAAGAGGCACTAGATGCTTTTTCCGCGTGGCATGTAAGACATGAGGGAAGTTACCCGAGTGCCACTCACTACTGGACAAGGACACACTAGGGCACGAGCCGCGGCGTTGCACCAGTTGCTCAGGCAGACCCGGCTCAGGTCACTTCCCCTCTCTCGCTCCACTCCAGTCAAGACAGTCAGTCCCGCCCCAGCACCTGCGCCCTGAGAAGCCTCCGGGAAGCCAGTATTTCCCGACCATAGCTCCGAGGGGACTGTTTTCAACCTGACCGCGGGCCAAATCTGGGCCCGAGAAACTCGCCACCCCTCCTCGTTTCCCACGCGGGGTTCCTCGGTCTTCACCGGCCGCGCCCCGCCCCTCATTTTCGAGAACACCGGGTCCGGCCAGAGGCGACAAAGGGCCAGGCCCTGCCTGCGGCTGCCAGTGCCCACACCGGAGCAGGGACACCTTCCTTTCTCCCCAGACTCTCGGTCACGCACCTTCTCTTCTCCCCGCCGGCGCCCGCTCAGAGAAAGTCCCTTCCCCAGTATCCGCTGTTTTGTTTCCGAGGTAAAAATCCCAGCCCCCAAAGCTACCCGTCCCAGGCCCCGCCCTAGGAGCCTCATCGGTGTCGTCATTTCCGGCTCTGGCGCCGTTGGTGGCCCACCCGGGACCGGACGGAAGTGCTTCCGGCCTCGCGCGCCTTTCCCCCACCGTGAGGTGGGGAAAATCCCTCAGCTCCAGATAACCCCGAGCGCCCGGAGCGTGTGGAGCAAACGGTTCAGTTTGCGGGCGTGGATCTGGAGCTGTCAAGCATCTGAGGTCACGGTGGAGCCCAGAGCGAAACCCAGTGCTCGCTTCTCCCAACCAGCGAGTGATGATACCTTAAATCTAATATCCCTCATTTCGCTGTAGCACCTATTTGTAGTTTCTTACAGTGTGAATCACAAGAATGCTAGTTAAAATTGTAAATGTGCTCTCCCCCACCCCCAAGAATCAAAACTTCTGATGGAACTTGAAAAACTGTGTCTACGCCAGCTTCCTGGATTCTTGGGCTCCACGTGTGGGAATCAGTCTTCCTAGATGGTAAACTTCTGAAAGCCTGAAAATGTGTCATTTTCTTAATTCCCAAACCTAACAACACTTGGTTCACGATGGGTTGTTCATTTCTGTATCTGCCATCTTTTATCCAGTTGTAAAGGCACTACCTACAAATAATTCATTAAGCAGCTTGCCACACATTCATCTGAAAGCTAAAAGAAAACAAAGAACTAATACCATATTACACAAGGGTTAAAACAAATGGAGGTGTTCAAATTCATGGGTAATCAGAAAAAACAAAATGATCGCATCTGGCCAAATTACATTTTTCTAACATTTTTTACTTACCCAGGCTATCCCTTTCACATTCCAGAACACCAATCCCCAAGCCCTCTCTTCCTGCCCTGCACTAGAGCCTACTTCCAATGCTGTAACAACAGATTTCAATAGCTTTTACACTTGATAGCTTCATACTTAAGTAAGCCTTTCCTTAAAGTGGAAAAGATAAACTGGGGGTGAGGGGTGAACAACTAAAACAAAAAACCTATTTTTTAGAAATTCATGGCTGGGCATGGTGGCACACACCTGTAATCCCAGCCCTTAGGAGGCAGGATTCCAGCGAGTTCTAGGCCAGCCTGGGCTACGGTAGAGTTCAACGCCAGCTGAAAACTACATCGAGACCCTGTCTCAAAAAACGAACAAAAACCCCCAAACCTCATCCCCCCTTAACTTTTGAGTAAGGTGTTTTCTTTGCTCGTTTATATATCACAAGTGCGGAGAACAGTGCCTAGCACATAGAACAATTCACAGATTTGTTCAACAAGCATAGGCCAAAACCCATCTATTTGGGAACTGGTAGAGTCTGTTTTATTGCAATGTTAATACCTTAAAATGCCGTAAACTGAGCCAGGCATGGTGACACAAGCCCATAATCCTAGGCTAGGGAAGCTGAGGCAGGATTCTGAGTTCAAGGCTAGATTGGACTGGACAGGGAGACCCTGTCTTTAAAAAAAAAATAAAAAAGGCCGGGGATTTAGCTCAGTGGTTCTGGCGCCTGCCTTGCAAGTGCAAGGTCCTGAGTTCGATCTCTGGTACCAAAAAAAAGGCTGTAAACTATTCGTAGAAACAGTACAACAATTTTTGTGTAAAGATATCCAGAGTATTGGCATGGCAAAAATTGGAAAGCTAAATGTCTCATTATAATTCACCTATTTAATGTTATTAAGTGTTCATTATGTGCAAGAGAAATTTTTCTGTAAAATGTAAAAACATGGTTGTACTTAAACTTAATGTCAAACATTCTTTTAAGTTGTATTTTATGAATATCAAATGTTTTACAATATAGACTTACTGTTTTATGTATTGTATAAAATAAATACCATCTTTAAATACACTGGAATTCAAAACAGAAATCATGAAAGAATATTGGTTGAAATATATCCAGTAGGAAACTTTTTATTATCCAATCCTTTGATAAATGCGTTATAGACAAATTTGATCTTCTTTGAAATGTGCTGTCTGCTGCTTTTCTGTTTCTGTTACAGTAGCTATAAATTGTTGTTTGAGGATGTCCTTATCTAAATTCCTGCCAATAAGGACCAATCGACTTGTTCTCTGTGTCATCTTTCCAGCTCACTGGAGTCTCTTCCAGGTCATAAGAGTTCATGGACACCTTGGACAATCATATGTTGTGATTTGTCAAACATTCTTGAAAAGAGGTGTTAAGATTAAAAAAAAAAAAAAAAAAAAGCAAAGTGGGGCTGGGGATTTAGCTCAGTGGCACAGCACCTGCCTGCCAAGTTCAAGGTCCTGAGTTTGATCTCAAGTAAGTTTGAGTAACTGGATTACAGATAATATTTTCCAGTTTTCTACATTCCTTCATCATTTTAGCAGTACAAACAGCCAAGATGTACCAAGGCAAGAAACAGCTTAAAAAAAAAAATTTAGGAAAGACGAAGACAGAGACTAAAATGAGGCAAGTTAAAATCCCAGACACTGGTTAAGACTTACAGGCAGACAGCAAATGTCAGTATTCTTGAAATGAACTAGTGTGTAGCCTCTTACAAGGCCAGTCTCATTCAGGCTGTCACTAGTCAGTAGACATCAGTGGGATGGTGATGTACAAAACAGAGCACGTTAAGAGTTGAGGCTGGAGGCTACATAAGATGCTCATTCTGGCATCTCAGTGTAGCAGAAAGGAGAAAAGATCCAATGTAAGTTTTTGTGCTGCTCTTTAAAACATATTCCAAACACAAGGAAGGAAAAGACAGTATCTGAGTAAGGGTTAGGAAACTACAGAACTCACAAAAAAGAATAGGGTAAAGGAAGTCTTTCCTGATTGGATGCATGGAGTATCTCTTTACTTTCAGAAGGGAGTTTACAATAGGTTGTGATAAACTGGAGAGCTAGAACTGCAAAGAACATGCCTGATAAACTTTCTTAAGTTTTTGTGAAGCTTGAGAGTTATTTACTAGATAAGGGGAAAGGGGGGAAATGACTTAGTCATTCAGTGTTATTTTTTTTCAATACCTACTGCAGCCCTGAAGTAAAAGCTAGTGTGCTTGAAAGAGAATGACCAGATAGCTCTTAAGTACCAGATTCTCTGCAGTGTTACATTTTACATTTTACTCAGAAGTGTCCCAAACTTGGGAGCAGGTACAGAGAAAACTAACCAAAATAAATTAAGGCAAAACCCAGCAATATGGTGAAAGATGAAATAAAAGCTCTGCATGGTGACACACACGTAACTCCAGCACCCAGCAGGCTCCAGCAGAAGGATCACCTCCAGTTTCCCAAATTTAAGGCCTGCCTGGTCTACATAGTGGCCCTGTATCAAAATTTTAGAAAGTAAAAATTCCAAGTTTTGGACCTGAAAGAACCTCTAACTCAAGAGCATGAACTTCAGAATAGCAGTACATTTTATGCTGATGCAGAAGTGATTTCAAGAAACAATGACTTATTAAAATTGCTTATTAGGGCCAGGGATTTAGCTCAGTGGTTTCGCTGCCTGCTGCGCAAGTGCAAGGACCTGAGTTTGATCCCTGGTACCAAAAAAAACCCTGCTTATTTACATAATTTTGAAATTGATGAGATATTTTATTAATATTCCAGTCAATTTTTAATTCAAGAATGTAATTTTACCAAAAGAAAAATTTGAAAGTTTCTGTTCAGGTTATTGGAATTAGTTATTAAAAGAAAAAAAGGAGAACCCTATTTTTAGTGTTTCCTGATTTCATTTTTGTACATATAAAGAGGAATTTCAATTATGAAAAAATTTAAAGATATATATGTACTTTTATTTCCTGTCTTGAAGATTTTGAGTTACAATATTATTTTCAGATTCTTCCAAGTATGCTGTTTTGAAATGAGATCCCATTTTTTCCCCCATTATAAGTTGTTTTCATAAAATTCTGATATTGGTTGTGGCCTAGTGCCTTGGGTTTTACAGATTTTTTTTTTTTTAGTACTGGGGATTGAACTTGGGACCTTGTGCTTGGCAAGGCAGGCACTGGAACCAATGGGCTAAATCCCCAGCCCCAGATTTTTCTTTTATATGCAAGATCTTTTCAACAAAATAGTGTTTGTCATCAGTTTGGTACTAAACATTTATAATTACTGTGTAATTATAAACAAAAATACATAAAGCATTGAATATAATTATGTAGCATAAAAGTTAAGGTTGTTCACTATGATGGCATCTTAGAATTAAACAAACCTATTACTAGGGCTGTAAAGAGGAAAAAAAAAAACCCAGCATGATAGGAGACGGAAAGCTGTATCTCTCACTACCTAAGTCAGGACCTAGAACCTAGTCAATCAGAAAACAAGGCCAGGGGCCGGGGACTTAGCTCAGTGGTTCTGCCGCCTGCCTCGCAAGTGCAAGGACCCGAGTTTGATCCCTAGTACCCCCCCTCCAAAGTGCAAAAAACAAAGGCCAGGTCTTTACACCAGTGATTTCAAGATAATACAATCCATTTACACTTCCAGAGCAAAGTAATCCACTAGGAATATACAATTTATTTTCACAGGGTTCAAGGCTTGGGCACATCCTTTTTTTTTTTTTAGCTCTGACATCATTACAATTCATTGCAAGCACTGGTTACCTTAGATTGAGACTTGCTTAATACTGAGGACTGCTTTCTTAATCATCTTGTTTTTGTAGCATTAGGTTTTGAATGTCACTGTTTTACTCTAATTTCCTTCTTTACAAGAACATGGACCCCCTTATTTAGAAACTTATCTCAATAACATACTTTTAAAAATTTCAGTATCCAGTTTTCCACCCACAGGGGCAATCAAGTCTCTTCACCTGGGTTCATTTACCAAAGCAGTAAAATTGACAGGAAAATAATGAACCTTCAGAGTTTTTGGACTCTACATTATAAAGTGTTCACTAATTTTTTCTTTGGTAGTCACTAGCTATATGGCATTTGAGCACATACTATGCAGATGGTGCAACCTAAGATTGGATATTTTTTAGTCAACATGACTTTTTTTTGGTACCGGGGATCAAACTCCAGGACCTTGCGTTTTCGAGGCAGGCGCTGGAACCACTAAGCTAAATCCCCAGCCTCAACATGACTTTTGAATACTTGAAGTACCACTGGTGTGAGTAAAGGAACCGAACTTGAAATTTTCATTACGAAACTACAGTATTTGTCATTTAGTGAATACTACTTGATAAAAGTTATTCCACAAATTAGAATTCCAGTTACAGGCCTCTAGATAACCATCTGTAGGGAATTTTGTAGTTACTCCATCGGGGAGAATGGACCAGGTATTTTCTCAGGTCCCTTCTATATACATCTGCTGAAAATATTTCTATTGGCCCCTTCCCCTGGACCCTAGAGTTAGTGGATCAAATCCCAAAATTCATAGGCTACTTTTTTTTTTGGGTACCAGGGATCAAACTCGGGTCCTTGAGCTTGCGCAGAAGGCGGTGAAACCACTGAGCTAAATCCCCGGCCCTTCATAGGCCACTTTACACACACAGGTACCAGTGGCTTCAGTACTCCTTGTTTTATTGGCAATCATTAAATAATCAACTACAAGAATCTCACGTGTCATCTCTACTTAGCTTATAACACAAATGGCACATAAGTACTGTAATGTAAAGTAAATGTTCACTGAAAAGAATATATAACAATATCTAAGTGTAAGAGCATTTTTAATGGGTTAAATCATGGTAAGGCTATTTAAGGCAATGATGCACTTATGAGTTTCAAAGACTAAATATACTCCAAAATGGGGGTGGTGGTTGGTTGGCTGGTTGTTTAATCTTTCAATTCATAGCCCTCTATTTCTGGAATGCCCATAACAATAGAACACAGCAAAATTCCTTCTCTTCAAATTCTTATTCCTTGAGTTTTTCTAGGTGATATGAATCTCATGTAAAAATCCAAAAAATTGCAACCTTCACCATAAATGGGTTAATAATTCAGTATCATTTTGTGTACGAGAATAAAAAAAAATCAATCTAATACACAATGTAGCAGAATACACAAACTCTAGGGTGTCATTTAACTCAAACAACATGGCTTGAAAAGAAATTTTATTCATTTTTGTTTATAGAAATTACCACCTTTTCCTGGGCGTTTTAGACTGCCATTCCTAATTTGGCTTCTGTGACTCAAGTAATAAAATGAAATGCAAATCATTGAACATAAATATTTCAATTTACAATAATCACATTTCCCAAAAAATCTACCAGCTTATCCAAAAACTGTAAGCTCAGTTTGGTCTATAGTATGAATGTAGTATTTATAGTTCTTGGGTTTCATATGAATCTCCCTGACACCCAGACTGGTGGGGTTTTTTTGGTTTTCTCTTTTTGCCTGTTTGGGACTTCTTATACTATTCCCAGTGATATTCAAAAATCAATTTCATCTTCTATTGTTGAGCAAAGCTACTTCTCAACTTCATACGGTTAACAGAAAGCTGAAATATAACCCAGAAAAACCTGAAACCATTTTAACATTAAAATCTTTCATCAGTTGTAGGGTATTAACTGAGGATATTCATAGAACTTATTAGCAAGAGTTGGGCAAACATGACTTATATATGCTTACATTTATGCTTTAAATTTTTCTTTCATACAGTCAAAAGAAAAAAATGATAGCGTTTAATACAACTTGGCTGTTAAGCCCACAAATTTTTTCAATTTGTCCACCAGAGCTAGTATTGATGCTTGATTAATAGTTTAAACAGCAATGTATACTACTACAGCTTTACAAGGAAGCACTATGAAAAAAATCCTCTAAAGACAACATTTTCAGGGACTGGTTAGGATAAACCCTGGAATAAAAAGTTGTTCTCAGGCATCAGTCTGATTTTATGTCCATAAGTAGATTCAAGTATGTAATATTTGCTTCAGAAGGTTTTCTTTAAAATATACATAAAAAGAAAAATAAGTTGCATTTGTGTTGTCTGTTAGGATAAAATAATACTGGGTAAAGTGCGAACCAGCTGGCCCCCTGACTACCAGGGAGCTGGAAAATACCAGGCCCAGCCACTTAATCAGAGTCCAGGTGACTGAAGTATACATTAAAGTTCTAGAAAAGCTACCTCAAAACTTTTCACTTACTATTCCTCCCTTGTCAACAGATGTATATACCTAAATAATTTTTAGGGCCAAATGAGAAAAAAACAATTTAGTGTTCTAACTGCCTGATCAAGAATATTAAGACGTTCATAACAACTTCAATGGACAGTATGAATTAACATAGGTTTCCAAGCTGAAATTAATGTATATACTTATGGTAAAGAAAGTTCCAGCAATTTAACAGAAATATTTTAGGTCTATTTTCCCAGACATTAGAATATGTCACTTTATACATGTCCAATTCTTTATATCCAATTGTCAAAGACAAGAAACAGAAAACAAGATTTTATATGAAGCTTAGTGGTAAAACTTGATTTGAACTACCATTATGCTATTAATTTTGTGGTTTTTAATAAACTTACCATGACCATTTCTGCTCTGCTAAAGAAATGTTGATTTATGAATTTTGAGTTCCTACCATAAACCTCACTGGAGGTGTTTTGCAGTATAAAAGGTATCTAATTCCTACGGATTTTAGGTGACATCCCTAGTTTTTAGAGAGGCCCTTTAAGATAAGCATAGATAAAAGAGCAGGAAAAGACACCAGTAAGATAAATTAAATCTATGTGACTAAACCTTTAAGCTAATACTGACTAAATAAAAACAACCTAAAATACCTCAGAAGTAGCAACTCTACAGTGTGTTAAGACAAGAGGCCAAAATAAACTGCTTGAACAAAAGTCTCAGTCTGGAAAGGGGCTGAATCTAAGGGCAGTAAGCAAATGCTCAAATGTCAAAGGACATCTTTCTCAAATATTCTTTTGGTATCAAAATTTTGAATATTTTAACACTACATATTTTCACAGATGTACAGTAGATTCACCCAACATAAGATAAATGGCCTCTTTGACCTTCTCATACCAAGTCATAAAAAATCAAGTCCACTAAAACATTCAGCCCATATTTCCAGGCTAAGTTCTCTAGTATGCACTGAACAATTACAAAGTGATACCATTTATTTACAAGACTCTGAAAGAATGAGTCTCCCAAGATCAAATATATACATTTTTAATATGTGAAATATTTACATAATGGAACCATACCATGGTTCGGTGTTAAATACAGTGTTTTCAAATGTCTTAAGTAAAAAAATCTAGTTAACTCAATCTCACAATTAAGCTTTTCTAACAGACCAAACTTTATCTTCTTTTGAAATAAATAGGGAAATTACTGCACTTAAATTGTGTTAAAAACTGTTTAAAACTTGTTACATTTGCAGGCAAATTTTGCTCCCTGCTGAAACTCTGACCCACAATTTAAAAAACCCACAGGTATATCTCTAAACATAGCATCAGAATAAACTATTGATTTTTTTCTGGTGCCGCGGATCAAACTCCAGGCCTTGCACTTGCAAGGCAGGCGCAGTGCCACTGAGCTAAATCCCTGGCCCCAGGAATAAACTTTAATGAGAATAGGTAAAAATTAGTGGTTGGTCTGGTCTTACTGCCTTGAATGAATTTATCTCTGGAAATAAGATGTAAACTTTGTAAATTGCCACACTGAATTCTGTTTTGTCAAACTCGTCTAGCCTTGTTAACTTGCCTAATTTTATCTTTTGTCTTTATTTTTAAATTTTTGGTGCTGGTGAATAAAACCTAGGGAGCCTCCAGCATGCAAAGCATGAGCCCTACCACTAAGCTACATTACTAGCCCCATTTGTTTTTAAAGGTTCTTAGTTTTCACTTTGCTTTTGGAATGAAGATTTTTGAAAACTAAGGGCCAGCTAGTGCAAAACTAAACTTTCCAGAACATTTCTGAGCAATGAAAATAGGTCACTGTGGAGGGTAATGTCACCATGATCTACTCTCCATTAAAAGGGAAGCAGAAACAGCCAGCTATCAACTAGGAAAGCCCTATTTAGAGACTGTTGCTCACCACAGAAGAATGCCATGCTCTGGGAAACTAATAACCTAATTATACCAGACATTTGGATTCATACAGTATCATTTTTCTTTATGCTTCGGTAAGTAAATTAGGGAATAGTTTTATACATACATTCACACAAACACATTCATACAGATACATACTATAGGAACAGATTGTCTGCTAATTTTTGCATTCTAATTTTAACTTCCATGCCTCATGACGCCTTGCCATTTCTGATCCAAGGGGGCAGAAGTGGTAATAGATATGAATGGTATTCTTTCAACTAAAATCATTCATGTTGTTTCTTATACAGTACAAGTCAATATTAAGTGAAATTCTGCAAAAGAATTGGGGAGTCATTTTAATATTTACAAGGAACAAATCAGCAGAACAAGATTATATTAGATAGGCTGTGTACAGTAGCTGCAGCTTATAAAACATACCAGTAATTTGTACCTGGTGAGTATAAAGAGAACCAAGGATTCAGGTGACTTTACAACCAAGGGAGTACATAAGTCATTAACAAATTAGAGGACCAAAAAAAAAAAATTCACATTTTCTACATTAAAAAAAATTACAGATCTCACAAATGTCTTTGAAGACAAAGAAAAATTCAAAATCCTTTAAAGGATGAGAAATAAGATAAATGAAATGGAATCCTAAGTGTAAAAAGAGTTTTACTTCACAAGACCAATTTTCTTGGCTTCTGTTTCATATATCAATAATCTCCACATTTTTACTATAAAAACTTCTGCTTCTTCATCAAGTACCTGTAAGAGAAAAAAATAAAGTAAGTAAAGTAAGTAATCATCAGGATCTTCCAACAACTTAGATTAAAAAAAAGGTTTTTATCCAACACAAGCACTTAATTTCAGTGAGATGACTTAAAAGGAAATCTGTTAGTGTGAGAAATGTATTAAACAGTACATGTAAACTGACTCCCCCCAAAATTCATTCAGCAAAATTCACTAGCTTACTAAACATTAACACCACATTACTGTTTGATCAAATCTTTATCTCTCTCTCTTTTTTTTTTTTTTGGTACCGGGGATCGAACTTGGGTCCTTGCGTTTGCGCAGCAGGTGGCAAAACCACTGAGCTAAATCCCTGGCTCTCAAATCTTTATCCTAACTTTAAAGAGATGTCTGGCAAAACAACAACTAGAGAAAGCAAATACTTGTCCTAGAGACCATAGTTAATTTAGGAAGAACTAAATATAACTACATAACACAGAAAATATCATTTATTACCTCCAAACATTACAATTTTACCTAACATTTAATATGTGCTTATTATGACACTCAATTAAAAATTAAATGAGAATATACAGAGAGCATTTAATTCAGTCTCTATAATACAGTAAACTACTTAAATGAACACCATCATCACCACAGTGGCGACAAAGACTACTGAAAAACATCTTTTTCCATCCACAAATAAATCAAATTATTTTCCTATCTACTTCGGTTAGATGCCTCATGTTCCCACATCTCCTATCCTAAGTCCGCACACACATTTGGCCCTTGACTCCAGTGTTGCTGTGAGGACAAATGGATAATCTTGCTGCCTTCTAAGAGGTAGGTGACAAGAGTTTGAGAATATCAGTGTCTGTTCTTTTTTTTTTTGGTACCGGGGATGGAACTCGGGTCTTTGGGCTTGCGCAGCAGGTGGTGAAACCACTGAGCTAAATCCCAGGCCCGTATATCAGTGTCTGTATAGAGAGTTGCCAAGGTCTTCCCAGAGACAGTGTAGGAGAGGAAATTTCTTTAGAGAACTGGATCTCTAGTCAGACTACATAGGATCAAATTCCACTTCTACCACCTACTAGGCATGTGTCTTTGCCTGGGTTATACTTAACCTCAGTTCCTTCCTCTGTAAAATGGAGGACATGTAACTACATCACAATAGTAAGCACTACGATGAGGATTAATGAGTTAACAAGTACTAAATGCTTTGAAGAGTGTTTGTTACATAATTAATGCTTAAACACAATTAGTGCTCAGATTCTCAAAGAAGACAAATTTTTACTCTTCTGAGAAATTTCATACAACTTCTCAATGATGACAACTTAAAAACTTTTACCCAGCTAGGCATGGTGGTGGAAGTCTGTAATCCCAGCACTCAGGAGGCTAAGGCAGGAGGATCGCTGAGAGTTCAAGGCTAGCCTGGGCTACATAGTGAGTTCAAGGCCAGTCTGAACTACATCTCGAGACCCTATCTCCCCCCTCAAACAAAAACAAAAAACTTTTTTTTTTGTACTGGGGATCGAACTTGGGACCCTGCACTTGCGAGGCAGGTGGCAGAACCACTGAGCTAAATTCCTGGCCTAAAACCAAAAAATTTTTATTTATTTATTTTTGGTACCAGGGATCGAACTCGGGTAACAAAAACCTTTTAACCATACTTTTATGAGTCAGACTTGACTTTATTGTGAGAACTATATTCTAACAATAATTCATATGAAAGTCATATTTCATAAATACAAAACTAAGCCAAAGTTCATTAATTTATGTGAAGTGAGTAAAGCTGTAGTTTGAAAGAAAAAAATGATTAGGGGTAAAGTACTACTTGAGCTGTAAAGTCTCTCAAGAATATTTAGGGGACTCATGAGCTTTGAGCTTTTAAAAGAACTGACTACCAAGTTTCAATGGTTTCCTCCCATTCTCATGAACAATGAACCAGAAAATACTCAGAAACAGTATCATCAAAGTAATTATACTACAAAAATAAAAATATTTCCACAGGTCCAAACAAACTGAACACTGACACATGAAATCTTCACTGTGACTACAACTCTACCATAACCCCAAGCTAGAACACTGACCACACCTCCTGCATGGGGAACTGAACCAGGGCACTCTAATCATTGAGCATCTCTCTAGCCCTTTTTGTATTTTGAGATAGGGTCTCATTAAGTTGCCCAAGCCTGGCCTAGAATTTATGATCCTCCTATCTCAGTCTTCTAAGTAGGTGCGACTGCAGGAGTGTGCCACTATACCCAGGTAGAACATTGACTTTTTAAAAATTCCTTCACCCAGGCCTACATGCAACACCGTTTTCTCTATCCCAAGCATAACATTTAAAACTCAAGAAGTTCAGAATCCACCACTTCACCCCAAGGACAGAGGCTAGTCACATTTCTCCTTTCCTCTAAGTCTAAACACCATGGAAGCAACAAAGTTTTCACAGGTGTTATTAGGAACTCTGAACAACAGTATTGAGCTGGCCAGGCAGAAGAAAACAAATTGTTACCTCACTTTAGACATCACAGACTACGTGGACACAAAGCATCTTGACCTCAAAACTACTTTTGGCTAAGAACCCCACTATGAGTTGGGTGTGGTCATGCATGCCCGTAATCCCAGCACTTGGGAGGCTGAAGCAAAAGCATAGCCGGAGGCCAGCATAGGCTACACACTGAGTTCAAGACCAGCCTGAACTATACAGCAAGACACTTGTCTCCAAATAAAAAAAGAAACCCCACTATGTCTGCCTTTCTGACATATCTGCTATCAGTCAAACTCCAAGCAAAAAAAAAAAAAAAAAAAAAAAAAAAAATCCAAGCATCCCCAGTCATTTATTGTATCATGTTTGATGCTTATCCCCCCCACACACACACAACATGGCCCATTGTTGCATTGTCACTCTGCCCTTTGGATTCCTATTCCATGTCATACTAACCATCCTTAACTTTAAATCATATTTTTCATATTTTACTTTAATGAAAACCCTTGTCTGTCCCCTAGGACTCCTGACATTCCTGGAGCTTTCTCAGAAAGTTCCTCTTAGCTGAGTGGTGGCACACTCCTACAATCCCAGCACTTGGGAGGACCTTTGCACTGAGCTCTATCTCTAGTCTTTTTTAAATTTTTATTTTGAGAGAGGGTGTTGCCAAGTCATTAAATTACCTAGGTTGGGCTCAATCTTGCAATCCTCATGACTCAGCCTCTCAGAGGCTGGGATTACAGGAATTTGCCATCATACTTGGCCCCCAGGAATTTTCACTGACCATATTTTGTACCCTATCATCATCTGAACTCATCTACCACTTATATCACTTATATTCTTACACTTTAACATTCTACTTTCTGACCACAGACTCTCCATATCTCCCATAACTTCACTGGAATTCCAGTCCTTAGAGTTCAGTGAAACCATGAGTTTTATTTTGGTATTATTTTCTCTTTTTAATGAGGATCTCTTCCTTTTCTCATAAAATCTCAATGTTAAATAAATGCAACTGTTGGCTTTAATCCCAAACTAAATGCAATCCGAGATCTGACATTTAAGCACTGCCCATGCTCATCAAAAATGATAAAATAGTTAAACAACCTTCATGCCTCAATTTAAATGATAATACCTGTGACACTCTAACTGACCTCAACACCACCAGATGTTCTATCTCTTCTGTAATGGAGCAGACTTTGTTACAGCAAGTACACTAGAGTTCAGTGGTGATGAACTTACAGCACATATGTTGTTTTTCTTTAAAACAAAAGACGTTAATATGTGAGTTGTTTTTTCCGAACTAAAATCTTAGTATTCAGGTTAAATTGCAGTGTTGGCACTTTGAGATAAGTGGGTTTTAGTTGTGTTCTGGGCTCTCATCTCAAAAAGGTTCATCACCACTACTATAGTTTCAGTATCTGTATACTGTTTCCCTGCCAGGACAAAGCGTCTACCTTTTACATTTCTAGTACATTGCTTTAATAAGTGAGCACTTAATAAATGTACTAATAAATAAATGCTAACCCTAGGGTTTAAATTTAAATTAACAGCAAAGGGAGAGAGAAAGTACAGGTGGCTAAAAAAAACCCCCTAATTTTAAAATGATACACAACAATATCTTGCTGTGGGTGCCTTTAATCTCTTTTAATACATATTAAATTTTAATTCAGCCCTATAAAAATTCTAAAACCAACACAGGTAGAAAATAAATTCAAACATTACGTTAATATCTATGTTTGTTCATGTAGATATGAATTAAAATAAGAATGAATTGCTAACTTACCATGGCAACATCATCTAAAATGCTCTGAGGTGAACTATGAGCCATAACCTAAAAAGAAATAATATCATGTTGAAAGGAAACAAAAAGCATTACAGTGAATAAGTTTTAAGGTACAAATTCTCAGTAATATAGGAATTTCTTGTGGCTGAGGAAACTATAAACTTTTTATTCTGGGATCTTAACCACTATAGTATCTGTCTTCTAACAGTCAAATCCTACTTATAAAATTCTGAATGCTATAACAATTACAAGTGGGGCCAGGGATTTAGCTCAGTAACACTGAGTCTGCCTCACAAGCGAGAGGTCCTGAGTTTGATCCCTGGTACAAACAAACAAACAAAAAAAACAACTACAAGTAAAGAAGGCAGCCTATTCTTTTCTGTTGTTGAGACAGGGTCTCGCTAAGTAGCTCAAGATGGCCTCAAACCACCAGACCCAGCTAAGTTTACTCTTTCACAATATTAAAAGGGCAGTTTGTATGTTACACCTTTACAGAGCATGGTGCTTTCGTTACAGGAACCATCCTATTGAAGAAAATATTATGGTTTGAGGAGACAATGGAAGGATATGATATACTTTGGAGATTAAGAGCCCAGCTGCTTGTTATACAACCATGGCCAAGACACAATCTCTCTCTAAACCTTAGTTTCTTCATGTGTAAAATGAAGATAACATTAGCGACTTATACTTCCCAAGTTTGTTCAAATGTTTAAAGATCAAGTTCTACAAAATGTTAACACAGTACCCACCAAGAAGTTAGTAATCAGTCAATGAACACTGACCACTACTACGATATGGAAGAAACGATTTTACTATTTCAAAAGATGTGTTAGGTGTGGTGGCACAAGCCTGTAATCCCAGCACTGGGAGGCTGAGGCACGACTGCAGCAAGTTCAAGGCCAGCCTAAACTACATAGCGAGACCCTGTCTAAAAAAAAAAAGAGGGCCAGGGCCAGGGATTTAGCTCAGTGGTTCTACCGCAAGCACAAGGTGCCAAGTTCAATCCCCAGTACCAAAAGAAAAAAGAAAAAAAGAAAAGAAAGAAAAGAATGACTAACAAAGAAGTTTGATGAGACAAGCTACTGGCTACCTCCATAAAACCTTGACTGTACTTCAGCAGTATTCTAACCAAGATAAGATAGATGGTGACATGGCATTCTCAGCAATAGAAAAAACAAGCATTAAAAAAAATAAATAAAAGCAAGCAAGCAAGCAAGCAAGCAAGCATAATTGGCAGTAGCCAACAATTCCATCATGGGTTCATTAAAGTAGCAATAGATCACTTAATCGAAACTGAACTATCATAGACTTGGCTCCGCAAGATGTTTTATTTGAGAAAGGGTCTGATATTTTAAAGTATGATGAAAAATGCTGGTTGTAGAAGGAATAAAAGACTAACCTTTGAACAAACAAAATCAACTAATGTAGCTTCTTCTTCACCTATATATTCTATGATTTTATTAATCCATGGTCTAATTCGTCGTTCCATCAGTATCTGCAAAACAAAAGTTAATGAATTAAAGAATTAGTCTTTTATTACAAGTATTAATGCCTTACTACTTTTAAGACTTAAATACACTATGTTCATTCACAAGGTGAAGACAGGGCATGTATAAAATGTAATTATTTGTTTCTAATCTAGGAAGGCTTCTGGAAAACCAAGAATTTCCCCCAAAATATAAATTCCTTGATTGTGCCATTTACATGGTATCAAAAGGATTATCCTTTTTATCATTAATGGAATCAAATAAGTTGTATGCCATACTAAGAACCATTCCCAACAATCTGATGAAACACCACTACTTACAGAATCCACAATAGACCAATCCAGAGGATAAGCAAAGAGCTCAGGTTTGGCTGTTGGGATCTTCTCAATGAGACTCTTTATATGTTTGCGCTTTTCTTCAGTGTTCACAGTGCCTTTGGCAGCATTTTTATCATCTTCACCATAATCCAATGGAACCAGTTTCCTTTTGCGTGGCACATCATCACTATCTTCATCGTCAAATTTATTAAATACACTATCTACAGGTAGCTTCTTCCTTTTCACAGAATTAGGCTGACCAGGACTATTAGAAGCACCTATAGTAAAAACACTATTTTAGCATGATGACTTCATTTTCAAATGTTTTATCTGACAACCCACCATCCCTCAAAAGAAGTCCAAAATACTTTCACAAATGTCAGAGAAAGATCCCAACTGTAAAAAGTAGCTCACTACTCACAAGTGCTAGAAAATTTAACTTTTCACTTCTTCTCAGAACTTGAGGCAGCTGCAGATATAGGAGCACTAGTAGGACTATGAAAACAATTGTGAGCTAGGAAGGCATTTTTGAATACTTTTCTATCTACCTATCAAGCAGTACAACTTCTTCCCTTAAAGCAAAATATAGGAATTTGCAGGGTGAGGGGAGAGAAATAGGATGGAAATGCTAACATACCCAGTTTAAGACTTAATCCTATTTTTGGCCTATGTTCCTCAGGTTGCTGTTGATCTGGTGAGTTTTCATGAGGAATTATAATACCACAGGGAGACTCGTCCCCAGGAGTGTTGGGTGTTGCATTGCCACTGGCAGAGGAAACAGATGGGGCGGAGCTGATGGGCCTCAGAGTAGGTTTCAGACAAGGCTTTTGCTCAGGCTCCTCTTCCTCTTCTATAGGTTCTTCTCGTTTTTCTTCCTTTTCTTGCTTTTCTTCTTCTTCTTCCTCTGATTCTGGCTCTTGCTTTATTTGTGGTTGTCTGCGCCTCTCAGCCTCTTGTTCCATCTATAACCAAAAGTTAACTGATTAACTTGGAATACACTTGCTTTATGTTTTACAGTTTTTTGTGGGTTTTTTTGTGGTACTGGGGATCGAACTCGGGTCCTTGCACTTGCAGGGCAGGTGGCAGAACCACTGAGCTAAATCCCAAGCCCTACAGTATTTTTTTATTAAAGAAATACTAATGAAAGTTTCAGTAATACATAAAGGGCAAGTCATATCCTCAGAGGTTGATCTTTCACAATTATTTATTCTCTTTAGGTAAAAACTGAAGCCAGTGGTCACCTGTGTACTGATAAACAAAAGGGAAAAGAAAGGCACACAGGTAATGGGGAGAAAATAAGAACCAAGATACATCATGTTCAGGTACAAGCACACAATGATAAACGTAAACATACTGTATACCTAAAATGTACTAATAAAAGAATTTAAGAAAAAAAAAACAAGAGGGAAAAGGAAGAAATAGGGAACAGAAGGCAATTTTAGAACCAAAGACCTACACCAATCTGAATTCCCAAATCTATAAAACATATATGAGGGGGGCCGGGGATTTAGCTCAGTGGTTTCACCGCCTGCTGCGCAAGCACAAGGACCCGAGTTCGATCTCTGGTACCAAAAAAAAATTTTTTTATATATATATATATATATATGAGAAAGAAGTTATCATAAGGGAGTTATAAAAAATTAGGTGATCAATTAATTGCTTCATTTTTGTTCTTAATGCTGTCCGAACATTAAGTTTACTCAAAAGTACTTTATTAATAACAAAATAATTCATTTTTAAAATTAAAAGGGATGTGTAAACAGCTGCCTGAAATTCAGGCAAGTGGTTGAAAAAGATGAGGTTTGGGAAGGCAGCCTGAGGGAGACCATGTTCCAGTTGATTTTTATTGGCAAAACATGGTGTGTCTTCTCCAGTGTGACATGTAGGGTGCCTACCAGATGGCCTTTGTCTGTAGTCACTGTGCTGCTTGCTCTCTGCTTCCGAATAAAGTGTGCTCTTTCACAATACATACATACATACATACATACATACATAAATAAATTTAAAAAACAAGTGACGTGTAAAAAGACAAGATTTCCACTGGCTAAAAGCATTTAACAGATTTTTTCGGGGGGGGGGGTGGCGGGGCGGTTAAGTGCTGGACCTGGTGCCATGTCTGTAATCCCAGCTACTCGGGAAGCTGAGGCAAGAAAATCTCATTTTCAAACCTAGCCTCAGGAACATACACATAGCAAGAACGTATTTTTTTTTTTTAATTATAGAAAAAAATAAATGACATGCAAAATTCATCTATAAGAACTAAAAACTTTTCTACAATGACACACTACTCTCGAATGCAAATTTAGGTATGGCATGACCTATAACCCAGTCTTTCTTCTTACAATGACAAACTGTTAATGAAAACATTTTAGTAAGAGATAGAACTCAAATCAAGAAATTCATTAACTATCAAATTATAGGAAGGAATTTCACCAGAATTTTATGAAGTCACCAAAACAAAAGGAACTGATTCATAAGATGTTTACAAACTAAACAACTTAATTGTTTGATCTTACATTTATAGGATGTTTAGCATTGAGTTGTAAATTGATTAATACTGATATAATAAAAAGTATTAAAAACTTTCAACAAAACAGCAAATTCTATGAAACATAATGTGTACTCCTAACTACAAATTAAACATTATCATAGTTGGCTTTAAAATGACATGATAATCTTAAAATCATGGTAGATATTGACTGTAGTATCTCACCCTCTGGAGCTCTGCATCCGGATCTGGGTGCCCTTCTGCCAGAAGGCGTTGCCTGATTTCCTCAAGCTCCTCCTTTTCTCTCTTCCTATCTCGTTCATCCGCTTCCATTTCCTTTTCCCTATCACGCAACCTTTTCTGAAGAGCACTCCCCCTACAAAAGTAACAGGCCTCACTTAATATTATTACCTATTTTACAGCTGTTTCCAACAGCACCTTTATTCAATACTAAAGATTGCATGCCAAGGACTCAGACTGTCTTACTGTTCTATATGTACAGAACACCCATGACAGCTGGCTTTTAGGAGAGCTGAGCACTGGCTTCTCACTTATCACTGTGCTTCATCCTGATAATCCCTTCCAAGTGTTTATTAACCATTTAACAGTTTACCCCAAGGATCACTCCAGCAGCATGTTTATGTACCGACTATCCCAAGCATGGTTCCACTCCCGGCAGCTGTTGTTTCAACCAGTTGATTCTTGTATTGAATAAATTTGGTAAAAGTGCCATTTTTATATTTCCTGTTATTTTACCTTATAAAGATTAACAAAAAATGCAATTTTTGGTCATTCTGTATTTAGACTGTTAAGTGTTTTAAAATAAGTGAAAAGGTAGCTTTCAGAAGGAATAAAGTTCTCACTGTGAATCCCCAACATATAATTTGGTTTTTCTTATTTCCTAAAATGTGAAAAAATAATACAAGTAGCATTAATTCCACAAACAGTTCTGGGACTGGGCATGATGGCACACATCTGTAATCCCAGCACTCAGGAGGCTGAGGCAGGAGGATCATCATGTGTTCAAGGATAGCCTGAGCTACATAGAGCTTGTCTCAAGAAAACCAAAGTACAAGAATAGTTCTGGGCCTGGGGGTATAAAGTATTGTCAGCATGTACAAGATCTTTGTTCAAACTCTCATCCTCAATTAAAATTAAGCCTTTCCAATACAGAAAAATCTCACTAATGGAGAATCAATGGAAACCAGGAGTTCTATTTAACAGTTCGTTGTGTCTCAGAATGTGCAAGTTATTCACTAGCATTTTATGATTCTAATATCAGTAATCTTACTGATTTTGTGGTATTTTCTACATTGGTGTCAATTCCTTGGCACTTAAGCTTAGGTGACTAATTCCAAAATTTCAGTCATTTTGACTACAGTGTATTACATGTAATATTAAATGCCCTCATTATGTCTGCAGTATGTCAGGCACGCAATAGATAATAAAATGGTATTAAGATATTGTCCAAGAAAAAAAAAAAGATATTGTCCATACCCTCAAAGAACATACAGTTTGGGAAGTAACAAGATAATTTCACTATGTCATAAATGGGAGTTTTAAAATGCTAGAACAAAAAAAAAAGGAAACAAGTATTACAACTCTCACTTCACACTAATGTAGTAATGTGAAGATGGGGGGATCAGATTGCTATTCTTTTCTTTTTTTAAAAACGAGGTCTCAGTATGTAGAGCTCAGGCTGGCCTTAAATTCTCTATGTAGCCCATCCTCAAATGTGCAGCGATCCTCCTGCCTTAGTCTTCTGAGTGTTGGGATCACAAGCATGCAACACCACGCCCAACTGAATTGCTGGTCAGGAACTGCTTTAAAACAAAAATTTCTATGCAATCCCAAATAGTTATAAAAATTAGTTATAACCTGTAATAAGAAGTGCACCTGTTTAAAACACATGAAGGAACAAAATAGGATTTTTTGGAATAATGCTATCATAGGTCCCACCTGCGACCCCCTCAAATACTTAAAATTGTTAATTCTTGTCTAACAGCACCACCCCGACTCCACCCCCAGTGCAAAAACATTATTGACTGAAGGGGTAATTACATGACGTACTATGAAGATTTCTAACATTCTTACTCCACTTAATAAATCTGTACTCAGGTAGGCAAGGAAAGTACATCTATAAGTTAATAAAGCAAAGCTTCTTTACCTGTAATATTTGGGATCATCTCTATCATCATCATAATCTTCTAAGAATTCTTTTAGTCGTTTAGCCTCTTTAGCCTTTGCAGAAATGAAGGACAATGTGTACAAAATTAACATAGGAGTTATCTGGGTTACCCCATTCCCCAGGAAACTTTTTTCTTATCCATACCACTTGAAACTTTATAGTTTTTATATACTTCATGTATTAAGTGTGTATTATATTAGACACTTTTTTATCTTTCACCTATAATACAAGTCAGATTTAGGACTTATATCTGTGAATAAAAACTATACAAATCTACATTGTTACGATAAATATCATCTCTGAATCTAATCTTCATAGTAATAATTCTCCAATAAAACCAAAACATACAAGAAAACCAGTTATCTTACTACATTAACTAGACAAAAATATTTTAAATTTCATTTTGTAGATGGAACATGCAAGTAGTTTTTAGTACCAGAATAAAAATTTGTATCATTTCCACACACCAATTCAACAATAATCCATATCCAACTTAATTTAAAAAATTTTCCCCCACCCAAAACTCCTACCTATAAAACTTTAAACTGAAAACCCTTTTATTTTCAGAAATTCAAGTACAACGGTATGTATTATATCCAATTATCTTGTATGTATTTTATGTTATTATATAACCACTACCATATCAACAACTATTATATTGATATACAAAACAGATAATCAATTCTGATTTTCAGTAAATTTTTAACATGTTTCATCTAATTCAAATGTTATGTTTCTTTAAAAACTTTCCCAATCTAACCATCAATCTACGAACATCCCCTCCATACAGGTAACATTAGTATTCTTCTTGTATTTCCAAATTACCTTGTATCTTTAACACATCTCAAACATACACACACAACCCCATTACAATAAATACCTTATCTGATGATACTGTGCCCTTTTTTTTTGGTACTGGGGATCGAACTCAAGTCCTTGTGCTTTCGCAGCAGGCGGCGAAACCACTGAGCTAAATCCCCGGCCCAATACTGCTCCCTTCTTACAAAATCAGGATTATTAGTTATTCCTGTATGCCCAATATGTAGCAAAAGGCTGAGATATGAAAACTGTCAAACTAATGAGAGTAGTCTGTCTGCTGACAACACCAGTGTTATTTACAAATATTTTCCATTCCTTAATTATAGGCACACATGAAGGACCGTAAGATACAAAAATATTTGGTTTGCTAGTCTTTTTCCCCCCCTGAATGAGGTACTAGGGATTGAACTCAGGGTCTTTGCACTGAGCTACAACCTCAGCCCTTATTTTTATTTTGAGGCAGGGTCTTGCTAAGTGGCAAAATTCCCCAGGCAGGACTCAAACTTATAATTCTCATGGCTCAATCTCCAAGATCTTGGGATGACAGGCATGACCACCACCCCGACAATTTCCTGCTATTAAGCTGACAGGAGGACCTTCACTTTTACCTCATGTATTTGTATGCCTTGACATGAGCCAGTAACTGTTCATGTGACTTTTTAAAGCTCAAAGACAAAAAACCCCAAAAAAACAAAAAACACAAAACAAAAAACAACAACTAACAGGGCCCAGGGATTACTCAGTGGTGCCACACCTGCCTCACAAGCACAAGGTCCTGAGTTTGATCCCTGTACCAGAAAAAAAAAATAACAGGATTTGCTAGGAGGTAGAATCTTTTCAAGAGTTTATTCCACAATACTGTTGATGGCATTTCTTCTTCTCTTACTATTCTCTTCCTACTTTCTAAGAATGTACAATAAATGGAATGTATAGTCTCACTTTCAACTTAATTTTTTAAAACTAAAATTATTTTAAATAAATCTATGACATTAAAGGATCTAATATCTGGGAAACCCATAATATCTATCTAGTTGCTGCATGCACCCTTTTGGTTACTTACAAAAATTCTATGTCTCATGTTTAAAAGCTATTTGAAGAAGATTCCTAACTTCAGTGAAGGTTTTGGATGAATAATCTCCAAACTGGAGATTAAGAAAATTTCATATTCTGGCAAAGAAAGAACAGATGGAATATACTACTGAAGCAAATACTATGATAAAATAATATTTTTATTATTTCACTTAATAACTATGCCAATTGCTTCACTGTTACAGCTTACCAACACTGTAAATATAAAAGGTAAACTTCAATTTATGATTACCACGCAGTTAAAGGATATGGTAACATAAAGAAAAACTAATTTATAAGTGTTATACACAGAAACAATACTTTTGATTTACAAAAACTTCACCATACCATTTGCTTCATTCAAATGCACTGCACCAATTCAACAATTTTGCAGGTTTTTAAATTTTTTTTGGTAACAGGTACTGAACTCCGGACCTTGCACTTGCGAGGCAGGAGCCTGCGATTTTACAGGTTCTTAATGATTATTTCATGATAGATTTACTTTGACAGTATGCAAATATAATTTTATGAACAGCAAATATTTGAGAAACAGAAAAAATATTTGTGTACTGAAATTGTCCCAAGGTTGCTTGAAATACACAAAAATTATCTGTAAATGCAAATACACATTTTAATAAGTTATTTCTAGTTAACAGTAAGATTTGATATGATTTTCCTGAGAAATCACCTTTTTTTTTTGGTACCGGGCATCGAACTCTGGACCTTGCGCTTGCAAGGCAGGGAGTGGCACCATGAGCTAAATCCCCAGCCCCAAATCACTTATTTTTAACCTAGAATCTTACCATTTCTCTTCTTCTTTCTTCTTCTCTTTCAGCCTCTTTCTCATATTCCCGAGTTTTTTTTCGTTCTCTGATTTCCCAATTTTTAAGTCGCTAAAAAGAAAATTTAAAACCTTTAAAAATGTGTACAAATGTTCTACATATTTTAACTAACCTACTAATTATACTTTTTGTACTGGAGATCGAACTCGGGACCTTGCATTTGCTAGGCAGGTGATGGAACCACTGAGCTAAATCCCCAGCCCCAATTATACACTATTTTTTTAAGAACAAAGGATAGAAAAATTATATCAAGTAGAAAATAGTATTAAACTTGCAGAAATGATTTTAAGTAAGTGTTTCTTCTCAACTTACCTCTTGATAAGCAGCTTCTTTCTCTCGGAGTTTTCTTTCAAGTTTTCTTCGTTCATATGCATCTTCTTCATCTTCTTCACGATCTCGTTTCTTGTCTTTCTCTCTTTCGCGTTCCCGTTCCCTCTCGCGCTCTCTCTCACGCTCGCGTTCTCTCTCACGTTCCCTTTCTCGCTCTCTCTCTCTTTCCCGCTCCCGTTCCCTTTCACGGTCTCTGCTCTTTTCTCTATGTAAACAAAAAGATTTTTTAAAAAATCTGTCCCTTTATGTTTTCCTTTAAAGACCAAGGGAAAGAAAAACATGCATTATGAAATATATAAATTTGTAAGCCAAAATGTAATGTTTGATTTATGCAGAACTGTAAACTCTATGCTCATCAAAAAGGCAAAGACGGGCCAGGGATTTAGCTGAGTGGTTATGGCACCTGCCTTGCAAGCACAAGGTCCCGAGTTTGATCCCCGGTACCAAAAAAAAAAAAAAAAAAAAAAGACAAAGACCAGGGTCCAGCAGCACAGTTTTATAGTCCAGTGCTTGCCTAGTTAACACTGTCAAGCCTTGGCTTAAATCCTCAGCCCACAAGCACACAAAGAAAAATAAGACACAGACTATAATTCCAATGGGAAGGGGACTTAAAGAGACAGGGCAGGGGGATACCGTAGTAGAAAGAATGATAGGAGAGGAATGGAGACGGAAAGGGAGGAAGAAAAAAAGTAGAAAGTGTGAAACAAGAGTGGAGGAAAGGAGAAGTAAAAAGAATTAAGATGTGTTATGTACATGTACCAATTCCCCAAAATGAGTAATCATTATGTTTTGTAAACATGTACTAATAAAAATGTTTTTTTTTGTTTTTTTTTTTTTTTTTGGTAACTGGGATCGAACTCGGGTCCTTGCACTTGGCGAGGCAGGTGCCGGAACCACTGAGCTAAATCCCTGGCCCAAAAATGTTTTTAAAAGGGCTGGGGATTTAGCTCAGTGGTTTTGCCACCTGCCTCGCAAGGGCAAGGTCCAGAGTTTGATCCCCAGTACCAAAAAAGTTTTTAAAAAAGAGACAATTCCAGCCCCAAATTGCATTTTAAAGTGAGTATCAATGATTACTGACAGACAAGAAAAAAATAAAACCTCATGAAACCTGGATATACAGTTATATATAAAAGCCTGAGACGTTATTAATTATAGCCCATTACATATTAAAATATTAGTTAATTGCTTAATGGTGAACAACTGAGAAAAAGAGCACAGTTCATTCCCAAGAGAAATACAAAGGACTGGTGAACATGTTAAATAACAATATACCTCTAATGATCAAGTAAAAAAGCAGTGGCAAATGTGGAGAAAAGAATTCTGCCATGCTACATGACACGGATAAAAATTAGAACTATATGTATCATCATTTAAAGTTATCAAATATTTAATTCAGAATAATAGAAGTACAAAATATATATAGTGTAACAGTGATCTAATAAAATCTATATACCTATGTCATAAAAGTAAAAAAGCCCTTAACCTTATACATGTCAAACTCTCAATAACAGCTATGGGGAAGGAACTGAAAGATATTAAGGCCCACTAATGACTGAGAGGGGGCTGCACTTTCAGTTCTAGCAACATGGTTTAGTGATCAAAAGTAGACCTCTGCTTTGCAAGCACAAGGTCCCGAGTTCGATCCCTGGTACCAAAAAAAAAAGTAGACCTCCTTCCTGCTATAAGCAAGCAGAAAACTGCCAAGAGTCATGTGGGTTTTAAAAATAGCTTGAAAAAGATTTTTCTATTCTCTGCTTCCTTCTTTTGATTCATTTTTGCTCTAACTCCTAAAGAATGAGATGACTCATCAAATAAATTCCAATTACCAAAAGCTTAAAATTGAAAAATAAAACAAAGCCCCTCAAAGGTGAAATTATTAGGAGCTAGGAATGTTAAGTAGTAGCCATCTAGTGGGCTACTTACCCACATACTCACACAACACACTCCAGGGGCCAAAAGGAGTGGTTCTACAGCTAATGTCTCAATATACAGGACTTCAGAGAAAGGACAACTACAAAAAAGGCTCACCACCCTGAGAAGGTAATAGGGAATTATGTCTGCCTGGATCACTGAGTAGTAGACAGTGGGTGTGTTTTGGATTTCTGTAAAACTTGGCTTGTAAAAGAATTACAATTGAGGGCCAGGGATTTAGCTCAGTGGTTCTGGCGCCTGCCTTGCAAGCGCAAGGTCTGGAGTCTGATCCCCGGTACCAAAACATAAAAAAGAATCACAATTGAAAGTTGTTACTTTCACCAATGTTATCCATGTATGTTAAAATGCCTGGCATGATGTCCTGGTTAAGGAAATCCCCTCATCAGATTAATGGAAATAACCCTACAGAGGGTATAACTCTGTCGGTTCTATCAGAAATAGTAAACTCTATAAAGCCTTACCTTGACCGACTCCGATCCTTATTTCGATCTGAGCTCCTTTCTCGATCCCGGTCCCGATCTCTTTCTCGATCTCGGTCCCGATCTCTCTCCTTTGTCCGGTCTCGGTCCCTATCCCGTTCTCGTTCCCGCTCCCGTTCCTTCTCCTTTTCTCGTTCACGTTCTCTTTCCCTTTCTCGTTCCCGTTCTCGCCTTTCTCGTTCCCTTTCACGCTCCCTCTCTCTTTCTCTCCGTTCTTTCTCAATTTCCTGTCTTTCTTTTTCCTTTTTGCCTTTCTCTTCTTCCAGTTTCTAGAAACCAATAAAAGTACTTTTAGAGTTAATTCTGTAGCTCGTATTCAGCTTCTTCTCGACGCAATGCCCAATATTGGAAACAAAATCATTAAACCACTGGTATTTTAATATTAAATACTTGTGGTTTTACTTGAAAAATTAAACTGAACCAATTACAAGATTTTTGTCCAAAACCATATACTGTACATAAACCAGGAATCTCCAATCTTGGATGCTGAACTACTGTGTCAAGTGTGGCTAGCCACTTAATGACTATATAATAATTTAAATGACCATAAGGAATGGGATGGTTTATTATAAGTTCTAGAAATACAATTACTTGGCTAAAACTTATTTCTGCCCATTATGAATACATATTAATCAGTGGCACTACAAATTATAACCCCAGACTTCCCATTACCTAAAGTTAGGAGGGCTTTAAAGGGGAGGAGTAGGAGATACAAGTCACTGTTATGCAACCAATCTTCTGCACTCTGGTTTGCCCACCCCTCCAAAGAAACAAACTGAATTCAGTCAAGATCTGCCTTTCTAATCTACAAAAATATTTATTCCCACTATTACAAGATGGACAGCCCACCAAATACAAAAACTTTGAAAATTTTTCATTTCAAGCAACATGTACATAATTTTGTTTTCACTTAAAATATTTAAAAACAATATATTATGTCTGCAAGACAATAAAAATATATATTTACAATGATAAATCCATCCTTGGAAGGAATGATTGTGTATTAACTTACAGATGTTGTGCTAGGACATGGATCGCCAACACTGGATTAACCTTGCCTACAAGCTATGTTTCTGGGAGGAAGAGCAAGTACATGGTTCACAAATAACCAAATAACAAAGTCAGACCAAGTTTGTACCCTGAAAGATTACCAGTGTATCAATAGGTTCTATGCAAACTCAGAAGGAGGAAAAAATAACCAAACAAATAAAAAAAAAAAAAAAACGAAACAAAACACATTTACCCCTTTGGTTCCATATTTAGTTTCGCCAAAGTGAAATTTAAACTGCAACAATAAAATGTTCATTTTTCTTTTCTCAGTCATGTAAAGCATTTAAAACAACTTTAAATAGGTTCTATGCAAACTCAGAAGGAGGAAAAAATAACCAAACAAATAAAAAAAAAAAAAAACGAAACAAAACACATTTACCCCTTTGGTTCCATATTTAGTTTCGCCAAAGTGAAATTTAAACTGCAACAATAAAATGTTCATTTTTCTTTTCTCAGTCATGTAAAGCATTTAAAACAACTTTAAAAAGCAGTCTTACCTGTTAGATACTCTTTTTCCCTTGTTCATGGACCAGAGAACTGACAGAGGATTATGAAAAAGAAGCTAATGTATGAGACAGCAATATATTCAGCTGCAGTGCCAGTCTAAATCAAAGTAGAATGTAGGCAGAGGCAATACTGAATATATCGAAATTATAAAGGGAAGAGATAAGAAATGGTAGAATGGACAGAAACTAAAAGCTATTAAAGGGGCAAAATCTCATTTCTGAAACAGTTCTAATGGAATATAAAAATTTATACTGTAAAATGAGGCTACCAATTACATAAAACTTACCTCAAAATCATACACATAAAGAATTTTATTTCTGAAATAGATACTTACAGATTATTCTAGTTGTTCCAATACTAATTTCTTTTGTACAATTCCTCAATTTTTTATTCTTAAGCTTATTCACTGCACTTATTCTATTATGTAAAATAAATGTTTCAGAACTCATTTCAAAAGTCTAGTTCTAAATAAATGAAGTGAATGAATCTATATACTGAATGTTTTTAAGTTATTTATATATATGCTATATATGAAAATGCACACAGGTAGATATTATACATCATATATAAGGTACATTTTTAAAAGACTGAAAAAAGAAATGAAGTGAGTCTAAAATGTAAGATAGTAATGAAGAGGAAAGGACAGACAAAAAAAATCATAAATCTTACCTTATTCTCTCTTCAGACTCATCCGTGCTGTAAATGGACGCCCCCTGCCACGCTGATACCCTGATAGTCTGTGGTTATTTAATAAACTCATACCAAAACATGCAAAGGTTCACTGAGCTCATTTCTTGTTACTGGAGTTTCAAATATCCCACCCTTATCCACACCACCCATTGAGAACTGGTTTTTGTTGTTGTTTTGGTTTCTTACTTTTAAAATACACTTTGAAAATTCAAAACATTCCCCCAATGAAATAATACTAAGCCAGTGAAAGTGTGAGAGATTCTTAAAATTCTGAAGCAAGTATCTTTTGAATTAATTTTTTTACCGCATGGTTTCTTCATAATTTACCAATAACATTACAAGGTTTAACAAATGAAACAAAAAGAGGGTAAACCACACACACAACTGTATACCATTTTTAAGCTTACTCAGCCCTAAATTTGAGTACGGAACTTAATCAAAATTATTTCTAGAATATCAATTCCCACAGACCACCATTTTAACACTCAAAATTTGGGAAGAGTTACATTTGTGCTTTTAAGACATGTTTAATTCCTCAGAAGGCACTGTGTATTTGAGCCTTAAATGTTCAGCACCACTGATTCTTTGGCATTATAAACTTGGGGTTTTGAAACCAATAGGAAAAAATAAGATTGACTAAAAAGAAAATGAACACTTAACACTTCACTGAGTTAAAAGATCTCTCAGTCTACAACTAAGAACCAGTAACATCTTATTACCTCTAACATCAAAATACATTTCATGCAGTGTTTGCATTTCACCATCCATAAGCATCACCTTCAACACCAGCGAACATTCACAGATGCACTGTCATTGAGAGAAGCTTTAAATAGGCAAAACTCGTGAGTGGGATTTACTACACATCAATACTCATTTCCAAGCCAGTTACCCCTTTGCATATTTTTCTGAGGGGGCATCCATAAATATAATAAAAAACAGAAGCTCATACTTACATCCTATTCCTTGTTACTTTCCAAGCTGACAGTTTCATCTTGCATTAGTCACCATATGATCTCTATCATAATGGTGGGGGGTCAATGAATAGATTAGCTTTATGGGAATTTACAGTTCTTCCATGCATCTAAAATTTGGTAAGTCTGGTAACCACTGACCTACTTTTTAAAAATCTCCCCCACTCAACTTAAATCTATACAAATATAAATCTTAAATTTTAATCTTGGCTCTAGAGTTTTTCCTAAGATTAAGTTAAATAACTGTCCCCGTAAGTACATACACTATATGTATGTTATCCTTTTGCCCCCTTGAATCTACTTTAAATCTGAACTTGATTTTTAGGTTGAACTCTAAAAAATTAGATTTTACTCATATTAAAGTGAATGACTGCAGAGTAGTCAGTAACGGAAAAAACTAAGTGCAGTATGTCAAGGACCACTTTAATATGGTGCTGATCTTCCGGTTTTTTTTGTTTTTACCTACATATCAATTAAGCCTACAAAAAGCACTTAAAATTATATTCTAATGTAAGGTTGATTTTCTTGTCTGTTTGCTCTGGATTCTGTAAAAAGTCTAGATTGGTATTAAGTGAAAAAAACAAGAATACTACCTTGTGTGTATCTCTGAATTTGCTGATCTCTCGAGATATCAGGTCTCTTTTGTCTTCTTCCATTTCTATAGCATTTATATCCTCCTAAAAGACAAAGAGAACATAAGATAATGAATAAAAATAAATCTATACCTCAATATAAAAAGTTACAGGTTAAATATTTTGTGTAAGTCTTACAAAAGTATAAAGAAAAAAATGTATGGTAACAACATCCTAAAGATGAAAAATGAGACATAAAAATCACAAATATGGCAGTTAGCATTAAACAAAGATAGTGTCAAAGGCCACATTTAAACGAACCTTAGCGATGAGCGGATAAGGGATCAGTGGGGCCACTGGAAATCTGCGGAAAATCTGCGGGAAAATCCAGAAAGGTTTTTCAAAAAGAGCTCACACTACTCGGTATTCAATGCCCTCTATATTTACACTATAAACATCACAGTACTTGGAATATTCTGATTGCAAATTACTTGCCATTAAAACCTATTTCATTCTCTTTAAAACTCCTCTAATCACCCACCACCTCTTCTCCCTCCAATACCCCCAGACAATGAAACAAGAAGGGTCTCATTGCAGCAAGGCTTTCTCTTCAATCTGTTCTAAGACAGAAGAAACATCGCCAACAAAATGTGCCTATAAATCCTGCCAAAGAACGGGATTTTTTTTAAAATTTCCCCCTCTCAACCCGTATCTAACAAATGCTAGTTATTTTTCTCCTTTTCCATTAATGGGGAAAGAAGAAATTGTACAGCCCTCAATTACCCTACATATGACTGACCCTACCAATTACGTTTCAACAGAGTGCACTTCAACTAGACAGGCTTTTATAAACACACGAAGAATAAGCCAAGTAATAAAAATATATTTGGGCACTAAGAAAACTAAATATAGCCTACAAAGGCACTAAAAGTAATCATACCTATAAACATTTTATAGTATTTTTTCATGGCATATAAAATTCATGCCATGTATACTTCTGATATTTTAAAAGAACACTTTCTATACCTTTTCTAAGTATATTAAAAAGAAATGAGTGCAAGAGAAGCAATCAGTTCTTTCAATTTGGATACTGCTATGAATACTAGTCGTTCTCTTTTCTCAGGAGTTAAAATGAAAAATCAAAGCACAAGAGTGACATCATAAAAATAACTGTAGATATGACTATGTGATGTCAGAACACATACGTCCTCCTTCTTTTCCTTTTTCTTCTTCCTGGGATGAGAGTCAGACTCTTGTGAGGGGGCATTTAGCTCACTGGAGTATTCTCGTATTAAAACTTCAATGGCCCCCTTAATCATCTGATCTCTTCTTTTGGTCTCTTCATCTAAAGCTTCTTCATCATCATTAGTGACAGTTTCGGGCCTGGCATTCTTTAAAAAATTCAAGGGGAAAGAAAAATCAAGAAAATTATAAAGACTTTTAAAAATAAGAATTAATAAAAATGTCTTCTCTCAAAAACATCTCTATAGTCTTACTAAACAGCTGGTTTTACTGATAACTACCATGTAAAAATAGACAAAACCATGAATAAACAGAAAACACTAGATAGCAATATACAACAAAAGACAAGCATTCCAGAAAAGTTAAGAACTGAAATGGTGACTTCTTTTCACCGCTCTGCTTCTAGAACTTTATTTACAATGTAGGAAATTCATTTTACAGAAACCATTAGAACTAAGAAGAAACAAATCAACTATAATGAGGGGGTTTTTGGCTTTTTTGTACCAGGGATTGAACTCGGGACCTTGTGCTTGCAAGGCAGGTGGCAGAACCACTGAGCTAAAGCCCAGGCCAAAAAAATCAACTCTAAATACTGCAGAAGTCTTCTTCCCCATGACTTGTTCATATAACATTTAAAAGAAAAACACCACACGCACAATTCACGCCATGCTTCTCACAAGTATTTGGTGTACTCCATGGATAATTTTTTTGTTTTGGTACCAGGGATCAAACTTGGGACCTTGGGCTTGCGAGGCAGGCAGTAGACCCACTGAGCTAAATCCCCAGCCCTGGATAATTATTTTTCAAAAAAAGATCTGATTAACTTATTGTCTTTCTGGGGGAAAAAATTACTATCTTATTCAATGCTGTATTCTTGTTTTTTCTTCTTTTGGTACCGGGGATTGAACTCAGGTCCTTGCGCTTGCACAGCAGGTGGCGAAACCACTGAGCTAAATCCCCAGCCCATGTATTCTTGTTTTTTAACATAAACAACAACTTGATTCCCTGTTTCTTCTTCCATTTCAGCAACCATAAAACATAGTAAGTAATTCTTGGGAGTAAAAGATGAAAGTTAAGTCATATAAAAAGTTTACAAAAATTGGGGCCTGGGATTTGGCTCAGTGGTTCCATCACCTGCCTCGAAAGTGCAAGGTCCTGAGTTCAATCCCCGGTACCACAAAAAAAA